CATAAATTATTTAGTAATTATACAATACGTAAAGTATTAAAAGGAAAGAAACGATGAAATATTATTTATTTACAAGTATCCTTTTCCCATCCAGCAACTCTTACGCTTTTAATTTTGTTTTTTAATACTAGTAGCGTCCTCATGCAACAAGCAATGTAACTATCTTAATGCTCTCCAATTATCTCGTATGTTCAAATGTTTTAAAAATAATTAAATATTCGACAATCGACAAATAAAATCTCGTACAAAATGTATGATTTATATTATTGATTTTAGACGCAGATCCTCAAAGTCTCTTATACTATTAAACACGAAAACTTGATATTCCTATCACATTTAATTTGGTATAGACTTAGAATTATTACGTTCTATAAAATTATATATTGTACATATGAAATCATTTGAATTACATTTCCCTTATGAACTTTTTTACCTAGAAACGAGGAACGTTTCTGTTAGTAACTGTGGAGTCCATAGAGGGCTCGCAAGCGATTTGCTTTAACAACGACGGTTTCGAACAAACAGTTTCGCGCCGCACAGTCACACAAAGTGTTCACCTGGTGCATTAATTATCCTTTATGTCTCGTATATAACTTCGGTGCACCGCCCGTGTATTCCTAATAAACGACAAGAACGCGAATCTTTTCCTTCAGTTTGTGTAGTGGTTTTTGATGTGTCGACTGTGGTCACGGCTACTCGATACGAAATTGTATCCTTGTGACGTAGCGTAAACATGTAACTAAATATTACTACTGCGCGTATAGTATTGTACAAACGTGGTACACGCTTTTTTGTTGTGCATGGCTTTAGTTGTCATCGTCCTAACTCGTCGAACCTTGAACAGTTAATTGAAGTCGGATTCACGGTAAGTTGCTTTTTCAATTCTCTCTGTTAATTAAGAACTGCAAAGCAAATGAAATCGCGTTAAAACATGGAGTTCTCGGTATTGTATATTTGCAACATTTTTTTGCTTGCGTCTGTTTTGTAGCACATTACGACATCGTGACTCGTTACAACACTTTGTTTTTAATGAACTGATAGGCATCAATTAGTAGGTCTGAGTTTTACTCCTTTTCCGCGCAAGAGTATCAATTAAACAAAAACAATATAATTATAGTGCGTGTACTTTCCATTTTGTCTCTCAAATCATCGTAAACTGATAATTTTGCGTTACACGTGTAGAAAGAGAAATCCTTTCATCTATTATATCAGTCGAAGCACTGAATAATTCTAATTTCTATAAAGTTTCGTTGATATTAGTATGAGTAGAGATCACGTGAAGTTATCGAAATCTCGAGCAAAATAGATTGCGACTACTTTTTATAACTCCGAAAGAAACCTCTGACTTCTATCTTCCTCTTTGATACGCTTCTACCGTTATGTTGCGCAATGTATATACGGCCGTGTAACCCGTGCAGATCTGTTCTCGTCCTTCGAGTGCGACAAGCGTATGGTGCACCGCAAAAAGAATTGGTAATTTATACTGTGTACTGCGGTTACAAAACCCCATAACTCTTTCATATTCAAAGCTGACGACGTAAGGGATTTCACCATTGAATTTTAAATTAAAAAACATTTGAAGTGAATAGTAAAACTCAAAAGATTTTCGATACAAATTAGTAAACGGAGTTATGCGAGCTGGATGAAGCGTGTAGCTTTATTGAACTCAATTGAACAGCAATATATTGTGGACAGTCATCAAGCTCCATCATCATACAATGCTTCACAGTACTATATCTAATATACATATGTAAATACATGGCAGTCGTAATTGCACATTCTGGTCATTCAAAATGTATCGTAACGTATTATGTAGTTAGCCGGCGGACCGGTTTGGAGTACTTAATCTAACAAAAGAGACGATATCGTTAACGCTCGTCCTTGGTGGAATCGATTGGTGGAAGAGTTGAATGGTTTCGCGCCATAATACAAGATTTTCTTCCTTTATCGGATACGCAGTAGCGGATCAGCGTTCCAATCGCCCGATCGTTTGCTTCGGAATATAACCCGTATATTACTCACAATTGCCGATCGTTAATCGTCTTGAACTTCTTCTGATGTAATCTTAAGCTTAAGGGAAACTTACATCTTTTGAGCCGTGACTCACTACCAACCGTTACCGCAATCATAATGAATAAAAATTTATTTATATTTTTAAGATTATCTTACTTTTTAAATTGTGTCTGTTTCTGGTAGAAGACGCAATTAAACGAGTCTCAAGAAAGATAACGTAACGTGATACGTCAAATAATTACATGACTCGACATTTGTAACTCAACCGTCAATTTCGAAACAACATCGATCACGAACCTGTTTCTTCTTCTTCTTCCTAATGTAAAATGCTTGCTTCCTCTGCAGTACATTATTTAAAAGTCTCTTCGAAAGAAAAGAATAATCGAGTTCACAGTTTCCTGATCGAGCTGACAAGAACCGGACGCTTGGCATCTGCTCGATTAACTTTTCTCAGAAAAGCACACAGGTGTCCCGCCGAGATACTGTTTTATTTTAATTCATCAAACAAAGCTGGTTTCGATTCCCTGTCACTTTATTCTATATAAAAAGTTGTTATATTATTAAGTACATCATTACTATAAAAATTAGGTTTCGTTATTAAAATTGCATTACGAAATACGTCAGTCGACAATGTAATTTCCGCTTCGCGGTGCAAAATTATTAATTGACTTAACTAAATGTGGAGCACCTGCCGGTTTCTATATATTTTACTAGTGGACGCTCGCATTTTTTGGAGAACGGTTTAACCTGATAGCGCAAGAACGATCGGTGAGTCAGCCGTGCCGGTAACCGGCTTCGTCCATCTTTCTTTTCACCTTTTTCACTTCCACCTTGGCGACTGTCCTTCCTCTCCGTCAACCTCTCGTCTCGCCTCCACGTGCTGCCTTTTCTCTTTATTCCTCTCCAACCTGCCGTCCTCCTTTTTTCCCCTTTGTTCAATTTCGGCGCAGGTGGTTCTCCTCTTGTCTTTCTCATAATAACATCTCTTGTCTGCTGTACCTTTATTCTTTCATTCGATTTATATTAAAACAGAGTCTTTTAAAAACCGTTTTTCGTTAAACTAGCATAACGTTTCATTGTGACAAATAAGGATTACGAATTGAGTGCGTTCGAACTAGGTAGACGTGTCTTAAATCCATCGTTCGCCTGTATTACCGCGGTAGGCGATGCCTTTCCTTCTCTTTCCAACCAAGCCAAGCCGTTTCTCCTTGACAGTCTTTCTCGCACCTTTGTTTCCCAATGCTCTAACACTAACACTTTAGAGCGAATCGCAACAGGCGACTTCATTGCGCGCCGTTCGCTCGTGACCGCTCGAGCAACGAGGTTCCTCCGACATGCGAGGTCCTTTGTCTTCTTCACTTACCGATTTCGACTGAATACGAGTATAAAAAATAAGTCGCTTAGTGTTTTCTTGAATTTCGTCATAATTTCGTGTGCCATTGTGTGATTCAAAGAGTGACGAGAAAGAAAAAGTGTGGCCTGCGTTAAAGTGTTCCGAAACATTTCTGAATAAGTAAGTTTAAGAGATTAGTTTTATGTTATCAGTGCATTATTGTTCACTTCAGAATAAAATTAATGTTGGAACGATTGACTTTCAACGAGAGGATAAAAGTAAACGTCGTATCCAATTCCTTATGCTGATAATCTTAACTCTTTTAAACGTCGCATCATATTTTCTTATGGTTCACGTTTCGCGATAGTGTTGATTAGTTTTTATAGTTATAATTGCAGCTGGCGATATGATTGAACGAGCTGTAGTAGGAATGGTTGTACTATCCATAAAAGGATTCGAGTAGTTTTAAACTAAAGTTGAAATATGAACTACAAAAGGAACAGCAGTGTACGTGACACGAATAAATTACGTTGTTAAAAATGAATGCGATGCGGGTAGGAGGTGTTCACTGACATATTTGTGATATCATAATTATATATTGATTACTGAAACTCTCGACTAAAGCGTTCGTTTCACTTTTATCACGATTTTTCGCTTCTGTGCAAATCAGTATTTAAATACTGAAGTAAATATAGAAACGTGATAATTATTATCGATGACTGACGGATGCGTGCCGCAGAAAATGAATTCGAACACGACTGATCATTCGCGAATGGCTTGAAGAGACTGGAAAATCGAAGTAAAAGTCTCGATGAGCAGTTACATGAACCGGTCGCGGTCGCAAGATACATTACGTCTCGACGGTGTTTCACCTAGAAATGAGTCACACCCGGTGTAGCAATACCTCGTTTGATGTTTCACAGACGAATACGATTCATTTATTAATCCTATCATCAACAATGAAATGCATAATGAGATGCACGATTTGCTGTTCAAGTTAATATTATATATTTTTTATATTGTGCATGCAATTTGTAGATTTTTAAAAAAGGTAGGACACACCGTATTTTGTCATTCGATTATAGATGATTTTAGTCTAAACATTGTGTAATGAATTACTTTTCCAGTTGCGAATATATCGATAAGGTTTCGTTTCTGTAAACCTTCAAAGATAAATTTAGCTTGCATAAGGCACTCGAAGGGAGTGCCAGTTTTGACTGTCCCATGTTTATCGAACATATAAAGTATATCAATTTATGTTAACTATAAATTGCTTCAGATTTGCGGTAGGGGAAAGGAAGAGTTTGCAAGATGTCCGAATATTGCGAGTACATGTGGGACACTACGAGGGGTCACGTAAGCTCCGCTTTGGCTCGGAGTATTTATGAGGAGGAGGCCAGGTTCGACAAACGTGATAAGAAACTGGCTATTAAAACCGTCCGAGCGATATTGCGTGAAATGCCGGATGTAGGTGAGGAAGAATCTATTCGCAACGCTTCAAATCCGCTGCTTTCGATCAAACCATTTTTAATTCCAAGCTATCATCCTGCACTATAATAAGTTTTTCCTCAACACAGTCCCGTTAGTAATAGTAAACTACCAGCGTTTCCTGTTAGCGAACAGATGTTCGCCTAGGGTCTTATGATTCGTTTTCCGTGCGTCGATCCACGAATATCCGGCATTCATGTCGACGGCTTCCTGCCGGCTACTTTTTTCCACGCGAGGCATTACAATGACCCACTCGTTTTGCTCTTAGAGTTGAGGCACTGCACGGACGAATATATTACGCGTTTCCTGTTGGCCCGGAAGTATCGCACAGAGCAAGCTGCCGCTCTGATAGCCGCTTATCAGGCGCAAGTAGCGAATCGACAAGATATCTTCGGCAATCTAACGGCTAGAGATCCAGCCATACAACGGGCGTTACGCGCAGGAATACCGGGTGTACTTCCGGCGCGTGACAGGTATTTTAAAATTCAAATCCATTCACTTCGTTTTATTAAAACAGTTCCAGTTTAAATATCATATTCAATTTTGCAGAAAAGGAAGATGCGTGCTCGTGATTTTAGCTTCGCAGTGGGACCCGATCGCGGTGCCAGCATTGTCGGTTCAACGAGCTCTCTTTTTGGTCTTGGAAATTCTGATACAAGATCCGAGAAATCAGGTACGATATCTTTTTTTAGTCTCGGGATAATTTGAGGAACAAAAGATCTCGCCAGCCTGTTCTTTAGCTTCGAGCGTTCCATTTTTGCCCTTAGCAATCCGGTTTCGTGGCTGTGGTAGATTGGAGCGGATTCTCTTTACGACAAGGCAGTGCCTTGGGCGCAGCGGCACTGCGAAACCTAATAGCCGCTCTTCGGGGACGATTTCCGGCCAGATTCAAAGCTGTACACTTCTTGTCGGCACCGCTGTACGTTCAAGCCACGTTGACCCTCGTGAAACCTTTCTTAGACGAAAAAACTCGGAACAAAGTAAGTATAACATTCCGTGTTGTTATAATAAATTACGAGATTTTGCATGAGTTCAAAAGATCAAGCTCCTGAGCACGAGCAACTGTAATCAGGTCGGTAACAAATTGCTACAAGACAAAGAGTCTAATTGCGCGTATAACCGCTTGCAGAAACCGGCTTTGCATACGTATGTACTTAGATAGGGGGAGTTAAATATTGACCAGGAGATAATTTACGCTTGGGACTTCAGCATGTAGCAGAGATATTTACACAAAGAGTGAATAAGTAATTGAACGATCGTTTAATCCTAAGGGGATCGTTCAGTACGTTGCACCGTGAGAATAATCGCGTGGCAATAAGACTTTATCACTTTCGTGATATTCACGGTTGCGTGTCCGACGATTATTTCTAGATCTATCTGCACGGAAACAATCTGAGCACCCTGCACCAACACTTGCCCACTGACATTTTGCCAGCGGAGCTAGGTGGCACAGGGCCAGCGTTCAATCCAGGTCTATGGGCTGAACCAGTTATTCATTCAGCTATGAAAGAGGCCGAACTAGCCGCGAAGGAGCGGATCGAGAATGCAGAACGGTCTTGTGATAAGAACCTCGAGCTGAGAGACGCAGATAACAATAAACCGAACGAAACAGACTCCGTAAAGTCCAACAACGTCGTGAGCAAAGAAAACGGAAGGCGATTTTTCAATCCCTTCGGCAGTTCTGTAAAGAATCAATCTGTGAGGAAACCCGGAGGGACAAACGTGGAGCTGGATCTAATTAGTCACAGTAATGAAGAGGCGAGAGAATGCAGAAAGGATAGCAGGACGATAAAGGAGAATGTAGATTCCTTTTGTAGAACCAGAGACATGAAGTTAAATAATGGCAACGGTTACTTCGATAATAGAAGAGAACGAGACGTGGAAGATAACTTATTAGAGTCTCAGCCGGAGAGGAATTTGAACAAGCCGGACAGCGACGACAACAAGGACAATTCATTGGATAACAGACCAGATAATGCTTTGATCGAAACAAGTAAGATTGAGAATCTCTCAGAAGAAGCGAATCTCATTACGTAATAGAAACCTGCTCGAGCTGTTAGGTCGAAACAAATTCATTGATCAAGTACTTATACCTGAGTTGACTTTGATTTATTCGAATGTCATTAGGTTTAGGCAGGATGCAGTAAGTACTATGAAACAAATTTGTATCTCGCTGGTTTTTAAAAGATCTATTGTGATAAGGTATACAGCATTATTTTTAATGTGTACTTAAATCTTAAATATTGACGAGGCTTCTGTTCTTTCATATCATACAAATAAAAGACTGTTAAATCGAATTAGTACATAATTTGAATGTTAACTGGAAAGTGAAGAAATTTAAATAGTATACTGAAGACTTTTGTTTACACAATTTTTACTGAATTCTTTTTATAAAAATAGTTTACTTTTTTGAACGTTACTCAAACA